TTTTTGTTAATGTTCATTTAAAACGATTGAGTCCAGGTTCGAAGGATAAGATTGTTCAGTTCGAAGCTCTGAGATTGCTTTTAAAGACAAATGGAGACAAGATCAAACCATACCAAACAAAGAAAAGTCTTAGTGGTATTAAAGCAAAAGTAATTACATCGAATGACCCTATTTGGGTATAAACTCAAGCTCATAAAAATAGGGAATGGAATTAATAACAAGATCATGAAATTTAGTCCAACTATGATAAATGAATTTCTGTTCTTTCTTTAGTCTGTCCTCTATTTCTTCTAACATTGACTACATGAGTTGATGTGCTCTCACTTCGTAAAAGAACTCTTCAGCCTTTATTTCGAAGGCAGTTTCTCTCAATCCTTATTCCAATTCGTCTATATCCAAGTCATCCCAGTACGCAGAATCTTTTTTCTTGAAATCATTGAATTCTTCAATGAAGTTCTCTGCTTCGTACTGGGCATTAACTCGAAGGGACGAGAGTTGGTCTAAAGATTGTGTGGTGGCCATAGAGGTTCGATGCCAGTGGAGAAGCAATAGAAGTTGGTCCAAAAACATGTGAAGCTCTGCTTGGACGAGGGGATTGAAGACATGACCCCGACTCAGAATATCACAAGCCCATCGAAGGTTCTTAAGAGGGACTTCGTCCTCAAGAATATTGAACGGTAAGTGGGAGAAAGCCGCGAGCAGAAGTTGAGCTTGCTTTCGCTCAGCTGGAGTAGGGGAATGTGGAGGCTTGTAAGGTGGAAAGACCTTATTCGTGGAGAGGGCAAGCCTCAGTCTCTCTGTCCAGCAAAGATTGGGCAGAGGAGAATGTGTGGATGCTTCTATTTCAGGAGAAGAAGCAAGGGCAGAAGGAACAAAGGCATTAATATAATCAAGCCAGTCAGAAGAACAAATCTTTGCCTTCTGGGCTAAGAGTGATGGATTGTACCGTTGTGCCTCTTCTAGATGTCGGGCATGGTGCACTATCTTTGTAGGCATGGAAAATATATACCATGCCACGAGCAGATTCTCCTCCAAACTACGTCGATGGTCAATGGGCACGTAGGGATATAACACCGAGCTTCGCGTATAGAAAAGGAACTGTAAAGGGTCAGTAAACTCGACAAAGTGATGGTTGATTCGTTTCCTCAAATCACAGGCCTCAGGCTTTGGCCAATTTGTCCAGCCAGAAGCCCCAGAAGAAGAAGAAGTTGCAGCCTTATCCCATGCAGAGGTTTGTGAAGAAGAACTTTCCATGTCCATATTTGCGACTTTCTGAATCAAAGGATTGAGAGCAGTTTGTTTGTAGTCCAAGGGTGAGGCAGAAGAAGAACTTCCCATGTCCATATTTGTAAATTTCTGAATCAAAGGATTAAGGCCAGTATGTTCGAAGTCCAAGGGTTGATAATCTGCAAAGGCATCCATGACCTGAATATAGAAAGGGGGGTAAAGTTGGCTAATTAATGCATAGAGATTCTTTCGAGGAGGAATAGCATCGTCATATGACTCTTCGTGTGCTCGATCATTGGAGGAAAAAATTGATTTGGTCATAAAATGTATCAGTCTGTTCGAGTGCTAAGGTGGTGGGGGTGTTCAAAAGATTGAAGGAGAGTTTAATGCAGATAGTGAATGACAGTTGCATTTCTGGGAAAATGCAAAACCCATGCATGTTCTAAGACGTGGGAAAAAGACCTTGATCCACTAATATCACCAAGTATTGGGTATATTAGTGCGGGGGGTAATGTTGGCTACATATTTTGTACAAGTCAATTACAATTCGACGCGTGGCAAAATAAGGGTGATATAAGAAGACTATTCAAGTCTTCGATCCTGATCATACACGTGGCAGTTAGTATTGGTTATTATGAGATCTGAGTAGCAGTGGATCAATAAAGAGATGCAAGGTGATGTGGTTTCAACGGTTACTCGCATTTCAAATTCAAATTTAGGAGGGAAGCTTAACTTCGAGTAATGGCGTAATGGAGCTAATATTGGGGCAACACAATCAGCGATCATGGAGGAGCAGTTCGACGGTTGGAAATGCAATTCGATGGTCATCCTCGAGCAGTATAAATAGCAGAGAAGGCCCCAAAAAAAGCCCCCAGACTCAGATCCAAAAAACCAGTCTTATTCTACTTTACTTTGTTTTACATTTCATGTTCTTTACATTCCAATACTTTAAATTCTGCACTGCACTTCATTCATAGGAGTAGTTTCAAGTAGATTGTCGCTGTAAACCTCTACGAGGCTGAGTTTGAATCATTGTAAGTTTTTCATTTTAATGAAATGCTTCAGTTGTTCTTTATTTGATTGATATTTTGCTTAATTCTCCTAAATCAAGCCACCAGTAAAAGTCCTCTTCATTGAGGCTGAGAGAACTAAAACACAATCGTCTGATAATTGGTTGGCAATTAAATTTCTGTAAGGACTGGTTGATCCTTACTGGCACGCTCGTAATTACAATAACAACCTTCGAAAGCCAAAAAACCAACACAAACGAGATTAAAAAAGCCAGACTAAAAAAGTCTTAACACAAAAAAATTGACTACAATAGCCAATGCCAAACGAAGCTTTAGTATTATTTGTACAATTTGATATAGATCAAGTTCATATGGTCTTGACCTGATTCATTGATTTTGCAACAAAAGAGGTAGTTTTTAGTAACATTAGTGTGATGTCATCTAAAGATCCTTCGATGATCCAATCAATACTTTTTTTTTTTTTTAATGAAATATAATACAATCAAGGAAGAGATTTTTAAGGAAGAGATTTAAATTGTTGAATATTGCTTTATCTTGTGTTTGTCTTACCTTAATCTTTTGGAAAAATTACATATACCTCCCTCGAGGTTTGGCTAAATTACAGATAGTCCCCTGAGGTTTCGAAAATTACATCCTCCTGAGTTTGTATTTTCATAACAATTTGCCCCCTGAGATTTATATTTCATAACAAATTACCTCCTAATTTGTCATGCAAATATAACATTCATGGAGAAATTTGTAATTTCTCAAACTTCAAAGGGATATTTGTAATTTAGCCAAACCTCAAGGGGGTATATGTAATTTGCCCTAATCTTTTATAGAGAAACTCTAATATAGACTAGTTAGCAATAGGGGGACGCACATGGTGGATCATGTGTACACAACTAAAGTGAGCTCCAAGGCTCTTCTAATAGCATCTTCAATAGTGGTGTTAAAATAATTTGTTAAAGCGTGTTATATGATAAAAAGTTTGAAAAGTGAGACTTATTTGTGTGTGTTAAGTGTTTGTTAGTTTAGAGAATGGGTGTGTGCTCTAATACTATAATTAACGTATATGCTAAGTGATATTTATATATGTATATAAATGTATTGACTGAATATAAAAAATAAAATAAAAGGAAGTTTGTGAATTTTTTACTAGTTGAATAGATGGTTATGAGAAGAAAAGTATTTGATTTATATTATGTACGTGATATTTTATTTTATTAACTATTTTAATTTTTTATTACATATTCCTAGGCAAGTTCTAAGTCTTGTATTCCACTCAAATTTCAAATCTAAAAAATAAGCTACTCAAATTCAATTTGATTATCCTTCAAAATTAACTTAAAAAAAAAACAAATCAATATATATCTTAAAACTCATTAATTTTTAGAACCAAATTTAAACAAGGGCTAGGCTTGTTTCCAATCCACTTTGTGGGCTAGACGATGCTGTTGAGTTCGTGGGGCCCATCACGGATTTTATTTTGATAATCTGAACCGTTCAATGTGTAGAGCTTATCAAGTACTTTATTACAGTAAAAAATCACGTTAATCGGATACCGATATCTACTTGATTGGATCATATTTTTGTCAACAATTTATTTTAAAAATTATTTATCGTTGACAGAAATCTCATCCGATCAAGTAGCTATCGATGTCCGATCAATATGACTTTTTATAAGAATAAAGTACTCGACGAGTTGTACACATTGAACTGTTCAGATTATCGAAATAGGGCCCGTGGGATGGTAAGCCTCCACTGGCCCAACAACACATTCTAGTTTGATCTCGAACTGAAGAGAAACTTAACCCTTTAAATAATTGTTGGACTCAACTCTATGCAACTTGATTACAACTCTACCGAAAATTCTGTTCAAAATGTAATTTTTTTTTAGCCATACAATAAGATGTTATGAGTTAGTAATATTACAACGACTTGATTCATACATACATGTATATTTGTATACATACTTCAATCTCATTTTTAAAATAAAAAAAAATCTAAAATCTTCATTTGATTGTCAATTAGCAAATATTAGAGATTCATACTTTGAGATTCATAAATCCACTCACAATCATGTGGTAATTTAGTTAGGCCTTATATCATTAAATGTGTAACAAATTAAAAATTAACATATATAATACTACATCATTATAAATACTATTGTGAGAGTTTTGTATGAGTCTTAAAACAATTTTCTACTTAATGCTTGGTGACTAGGAAAAAAAAAAGGAGAAATCTACGCATCAGAGGCCTTTCAAAATATATTTTCTTACTCATGATTTTTTTTATTTATAATTTAGGTCTCTTTTGAAAAGACAAAAAAAAAAAAAATTATTAACTTATTTATAGAATATATCACCTCTCTATTTTTTTTAAAATATTTTTTTCTAAGTAAAAAAAAAATCATTTCCCAAAATAGATCTTAATGTTTTAATGTTTATAAAGTATACCATTAATATGTAATTATTTTTTTAAAATTGGATTGATTTGATATTTTTCAAAAAAAAAAAAACACTAATTTTTTTCTTAAAAAATTTTAAAAAATTATTAAATTATATGCAATCACTTAAAAAATTAAATGTCACATTATTTATACTTACAAAGTAATTTTTTTACTAATTTCTCAAATATATTAATTTTTTTAATTCTTAAACAAATAAAAAAAATAATTTAAAAAAAAAAAATCCGAAACACCCACTAATTGAAGAGAGAGATTTGTGAACATAACATTTCAATTTTCTCTTGACAAAGTCATAAAATAAAATAAAATAAAATCTCATTAGAAATTTCTTTGAAGATGAGTAACATAAAACACAATAGATCTTTATAATTAATCTCAATATACTAGTTTATCGTCATTATCATCATGATCACCATCAACGGCCACAAACTTAAAAATCCTTGAAAAGCTTGCGGACCTGTTCAAGTGTCACAAACAGCACCACAGTGAAAGGCCCTTGCCTTGATATTGTAGGAATAAAGCCCTTGTAGAGGGACATGGGTCCTTCAGCCCTAATTGTTTTTAGGGCACAATCAAGTGCTCCATTGTAAGGTGGAGCCGATCCGGGCTCCACCTTCATGTTCATCACCCTGGTCTTGATCACATCCACAGGGTTCGATGCCACAGCAGCCACGAACCCTGCAGCGAAGCTTGCCGTGACATGAGTCCCAAGCCCATCCTTCATCAGACCCTTTTCTAGGATTGTTTCTTTGACCTGATCGTATGATGCGAGCTGTGATGCGGTCACGATCATGGCGCGGTTCACCGTAAGGGAAGACCCGCGCCACAGGCTGGTAACGCCCTCCTGTCTCGCCATTCGAGTTATTGCGTCGACTACGCTTTTGTAGTTGCGCCGCTCGGAAGCCGGAAGCCGACCGTCGGCTTGCATGCGTACCATAGCCACGTCGGCTGGGTTCCCAACAGCCGCGCCGATTCCACCGGCTAACAACCCGGCTGCTATCTTGCGCCCAATAGGAAGGGTTCCGGAGTTGGGGTCGGTCCATTTCTGCTTGAAGACTTCGTAAAGACCCATTCGTGTTGTGGAATAGAGAGTCTGGCGGAGGATGGTGGCGGAGACGCCGGAGTACAAGGCGGCGACGCCTTCTGTCTGGAAGATCTTCACCCCAACCGAGATGAGACCCGCCTTCGGCGGCGGCGGCGGCGGCGGTACCGGAATGTGGAGGTTGCTAGGGGCGGAGACGGCGGTGGAGTTGAAAGCAAAAGCAGGGCGAAGAGAGTGAATGTGGTGGTTAGGGTTTGGGACATTGTTCTCGCCCTGTAGCTGCATGCGAACCTTGATCAAATCAAGAGGGTGAGTTGAACAACCAGCAACGATTGAAGCAATACCTCCCTCAACAAAGCCTCACGTCGGCTGGGTTCCCAACAGCCGCGCCAATTCCGCCGGCTAACAACCCGGCTGCTATCTTGCGCCCGATAGGAAGGGTTCCGGAGTTGGGGTCGGTCCATTTCTGCTTGAAGACTTCGTAGAGACCCATTCGGGTGGTGGAATAGAGAGTCTGGCGGAGGATGGTGGCGGAGACGCCGGAGTACAAGGCTGCGACGCCTTCTGTCTGGAAGATCTTCACCCCAACCGAGATGAGACCCACCTTAGGCGGCGGCGGCGGTACCGGAATGTGGAGGTTGCTAGGGGCGGAGACGGCGGTGGAGTTGAAAGCAAAAGCAGGGCGAAGAGAGTGAATGTTGTGGTTAGGGTTTGGGACATTGTTCTCGCCCTGTAGCTGCATGCGAACCTTGATCAAATCAAGAGGGTGAGTTGAACAACCAGCAACGATCGAAGCAATACCTCCCTCAACAAAGCCTTTCAAACCCATTTCAGATTTTGTCAAAAAGAATTCAAAAAAAATGTGGCTTTTAAGCTATTCTTTCGATTGAGGAAAAAAATGGTGGGTTAAAAAGAATAGGAGAGAGATTTAAGACCAGTAGGAGTTGGGGTTCATCTCACTGGAGACCAGGAGATGAGAGTGGAGGCCTAAGGCTATAGAAGAAGAGTGAGGAACTAAAGGCCTGTGAGACATATGCTAGCGAGATCTGATTTTTTAAAAAGATGATTGTAGCGTTTGGAGAGAGTCTACGATGGAAGAGAAAATTTATAGGAGTGGGAAAAGAGAGGAAAGTGGAATGCGTGGTGGGTTGGCGTTCGGTCTCCAGAAGGTAGGACGCGGAAAGGAAAGGTCCGTGGGGATGTGGGACCCACAAAACAAACTCGACTGGACCGGTTCTATTTAAAATGTTGGGATTAGGAAGATTCGTAGGCTTGACTTGAACGCTAATTTTGTGGGGTTAGGGAATTGGGTTGGGTCTGTATAGGTTTTTTTTTTTAATAAAAAATATTAAAGATTTTAAAATTTTTATTAAGAATTTTATTAAAGGTCTTATGGGTGTGAGATTATATGGGATTTATATTACGTGGGCCTTATACTTATGCTGTCTAATAAAATTTTTATTCTTTTTGTCTTAAAATATTAGTCTATTATTCTACATTTTATTGTCCAAAACTATTAATTTATTTTTAAAAATTAAGGACAATAATAATGTGAATTTCATATTTTGTCGTTCTTTGAAATTTATTAACATAAAAAATATAATTATAACAATTGATATTTTTAAAAAAATATATTATTAAAGTGTAATTTTGAAAAATTAATTTTTGTAAAGTGTAATAATTGTACTATTAAAAAAATAAATTTTTCAAAAAAAATTATTATTTTGAGACAAAAAGAGTAATAGAATTTTTAAAATGTTTAACATTATCCTTTTTCAACAATGATTCATCCCCCTTTTCCCCCACCTCCTTTGACCCCCTCTCTCTCTCATTGGTTATATTTTCTTTTTCTTTTTCTTTTTTTTCCTGCTCCTCCAATCACCACCCGCCACGTGACAAAGAGGGGGTGAGGGGTGACCCCAAAAGGGGTCCCAAGCATTATTCATCTTTTTTATATGTTTATTTGAACCTACTCTTTTTATATGTTGCTCCAACTTTTTTGGCATTTGGCAATTGATTGGTTCGCATTCCCTGTATTGATTGGTTCGCATTCCATGTTACTAATTATTATTGTTTATTTATTTTTGGAATACTTTTTAATATTTTATTTTTTAATTTGATTTGCTGGACCCAGATACACCATGGATGGTTTTGAAATTTACATTGATTTTGGACGCTTTGATTTGTAATTTGGACTTTGTTCGCACAGGTGCGGTTTAGGAAAAATTAAACTTGTAATTGTCCACAGTGTGGGGTATAATTTGTGTGGATAGAGTTTGTGAATGTACGGATGGTTTGCGGATTAAACTTTTTTCTTTAAAAATTCATTTTTAGATTTTTTTTTTCAGTTTTGTAAATATTTATTTTGAGCCATTTTTTTCTCATTTTCTAAAATACTTAACATTAATAATTAATGAATTAAAACTTATAAAATTAAAAACATAACAAAATCAATTCCTAACACAAACAAATCATTCAAAATCCTAAATTTTTAAATAAAATCATAAACTAATACAAGCACATCTTGCAAAATCCTAAACTACATCAAAATCATTCACTATTCAACAGTACAATTAAAGTAAAATCATTTAAAATCGTAAATTTACCTAAAAGTAATTCTTCATTAATTTTTACATACATCTAAAATGCAATAATAAAATATCAATAAATTGTTATTAAACTTCATCCAATTCAAACCCATTAAATAAAATAAAAATATTTACAAACTCGCAAACTCCATCATGAATCACATCTAATTTTTAAAAATTCCAATTTCATGCATATGTCTGTGGGCAAAAATATCTATGATAGGATGAATGAAATCAACGGTACAGGTTTTAAAAAAAAGTCTAATTGCGGGCGAGTTCTTATGGGTGCGGGTAAAACCTACCACCTGCAATAATGCCATATTCCAAACCACATCCGCTCGCATTGTGTCTACGAAACCGTCTATTTGTATGCAGATTGGTTCGGGGTTAGACAAATTGGGCGGTTCAGATAACTCTATACCCAATCCTAATTTGAACCTTAAACAAAATAAATATTGAGTTTTTAATTTTGTCAATTTATATCACAATTTTTTAATTTGTTTTCAATGTAAACTAATATTTTCCTTAAGTAAAACAAATTTAAAAAAAGAAAAGAAAAAAAAGAGTATTTTAGTCATGTTAGCCCAATGTATACACAACATGTCTAAAATATCATTTTTTATTAAATTTAATAACTAAAGTATTCATTTTTTTTATCAATTTTATTTAATGAAAATAGATAAATGATTTAAATTGAAAACAAATTAAAAACTTAAAATTTAAATTGATAAAATTAAAAAAATTAAAATTTATTTTGCTATCAAGATCAAATCATGAGATTTTTTGTGGTCATATTTTACCATTGTTTATTCATATGTGTCAGTATGCATTAGTTCTGATCAGTTTGGATTTAATAAAAAAATATCAACATAATTATGTCAAATTTATAAAATTTAATATATTTAAAAAAAATCATAAAAATAATCAATGTAATTTATTCTTAATAATATGATATTTGGGCAAAAAATGAAGCACATTTTGCACGCATACTTTGTGAAGACATGCTCTTTGATTTTGCGATTTTCATTTATTTATTTCTCATTCTTTTCGCATGCAATATTTAAAAAAAAAACTTTTAATTAGTAAAGTTAATAATATGATAATTTTTTATTCAAAAAACTTTTTTTTTTTAAAAAAAAAAAATTTAACTAGTAAAGTTATAAATTCAATGAATCTTATCATTTAACCCTTCTCATAGTTTAATTAATTACTCAATAATAGAAATTTAACAAGCAAGTCTTGTGATTAGAAGGGTAATATGTGAGCATCTCTTGATATTTAGGGAAGCACAAAAAGAGCATATTGGATATAAGCCTCAGGTTGGGCGCAACAACTTGCTTGATTTCTTCTTCATGCATACAAGTTTGACACGTGGCACATGAACAATATTTTGAGATGAAAAATGTTAGGACTCAAATGTTTTACCAAATATTTCACATGGGTGCGAGACCTATACCATGTGAATCCTATATAGATCCCACAGACATTTTATATAACATTTAGTAAAATATTTAGAATCTCTAATATTACTATTTGAAGATAGATATTTATTTATTCCACCATTATGCGGAAAATCAAATGTTCCAAATTAATTTGACTGTTGTTGCATCATCTTTCTTTGTTTCTTACAGAAAGTTTCCACCATCTAGAGAGAGGGATTCAATTTTTTATTTTTTTTTAAAGTATAATATTACAAAAATAAATTATAAAATCAGACACAAAACATGATGATGGGTAAGAGTATCTAAAAAAAATAATTAAATGTATAAAATCTTATAACAGAATCAGATACAATTATCTCACATAAATTTGTATATGATGTTGTGAACGGTTTCTTTACCTGTGGAAGAACCATTTTTAAAAATCAGTCCAAGTTACAAAATCTAATATATTTATATATTTTTATGTGTTTTTAGGAATTATTTGAGATGACATAAATAAGTGTACTTTTTGTCTTTTTACGAAAAAATGTGCAGAAAAGTAGAGAAGTGATGTGATGAAAAAAGATAAAAAGATAAATTATTTTGATATTGTCAAACTTGACCTTAATAGTATTGTTCTTAAAAAAAAAAAATTGGGAGAGAAGGGTTCAAATTTTCAAGCCATAAAAATTAGTTGGGTTAGAGGTGGTTTCCATTTAATAGTGGGCTTAGTCTAACTCCTAAATCATGACACGTGCTTTGATTTGTTGCTTTTTCAATCATGTGATTTCAAGGCCATTAAGAAGCTTAGCTGGGGGAGGTAGGAATTGAGGAAGGATGTATATGTGATTTCTTCAAGGAATGATGTTCGTTAATTTTTTATTTGATTTCACTTTGGGTTAATTATTGAAAAGTTTAAATTAAGGAAAGATAAGTCATTAAATTTAGTGAATATTTTTTATTGATAAGAAGTTCACATTTTATTAATAGTTTGGTAAGAAATCTTTTTATTTTTTTGAAAGATATTTTGTTTCTAATTTTATCCCCTTAATTTATCCGTTGACTTTCGTTGTCTCTTTGTTCAATTTTTTTTGCATGTTCAAAATTTTTCCTTGTCTGTTCAAAATTTTTCCTATATGTTTAAATTATTTTTTTTATCTATTTAAATTTTTTGACTATTTGTTCAATTTTTTCTCCCATTTGTTTAGTTTATTCTCATACATAAACAGATAGATAGATAGATATAAAGAGAGAAGTCCTACAACTTCATCTGTTCAAATTCTCAACAATGACTATCTGTTCATTTTTTAAAATTGCGTTTAACTAAAATCATGGCTATCTATTTTCAATAATGGCTGAAACAATAATAAACTATAACTACAACAACAATTATAAACTATAACTACAACAACAAAATAAAATAAAAAAGGAAGGAGAAAGTGCATCTCTAGAAAAATGTTTATCACCTGTTTAATTATTCTCCAGATTTGCATCTCAACTACACTACCATAACATAAAATCGCACCACAAGAAGCCCCTCTATCTTTCTTTCACTTTGAAGCCCCTAAAACCCTTTACAATCCATAAACAACGATGGTTAGGCCAAAGAACAGACCACGCACAACAACATCAACGCCATTGACGGTAATGATTTTCGATTCGAGTCTCCTCTGAACTTGAATATCATGAATCGGCAATAGCTTGGGCAAAATCGAACAAGAGGTGAGATTTTGAAGATTAGTGAGGGATAATCAGAGAGGTACAATGTGGTAGCGGAAGGCGGTGATGTAAACAGAGACTACAACCTCTTCGGCAACGCACTCACCACTTCCGATCTCTACTTCGACCTCCTTGCTAGAACTTTCTTCACCTTCTTCATCAGCACCGACTTTTCTCTCATTGCTATTGACGTGATTTTCAACACCACCAGCATCGATTCCAGTTTTTCGTCTGGTGCGGCGGTGACAGTGGCAGTGGAGAGAAAGATGGATATAGAGATGGTGAAGAAGCAGAGAGTGCACATTTTAATGGATAATGGATTAGCATTCGCCTCTATGGTGGTATTGATCGACTGTGTGATGGTGC